TATTTAGCTCAATGGGCCTTACCTGGTAAAATAAAAAGTTTAGTTTTTAGTTTCAAGGTCACTCTCACAACCACGAGAGGCGATGCCATAGACCGCAACGTTAAACATTTTGAATTGATTATTCCACTGAATCGTGACACTGACATTCGTCAAATCACTGGGGGAGGAGAATAACCACCCATCCCTCTGCTCCCAACGAATATCCTGATTGCACAGTATGCTCAATCTTGTGCTGTTGTTAGCACAGTCACGACAAAGCCACATGGGGGACTACTTATACCACCCATTAAATACGCAGCACAAATGGAAAAATAGTAAATGTTTGTACTTTCATCGTGCACAGTATTCACTCGCTCTCGAAAAGAGAAAACCACTCGGGAGGCGTGAGGAACCAACAGACGAGCAGGTAGGCAGCCACGTGGTGAGCCGGCACAAGCTGTAGCCTCAAGCTCTGTGATCTCCTGTGCATTATGGTGCTAACGGCAAATTAATGGGTTTTTAGGTGTGGGAGGAAAACCGCGTTTCCATGTAAATTACGAGAAACATTCGACAAAATTGACACCCAATAACACAGACCAATGCAATGAACTCCAAGAAACATTGGCATGCGTGGGAGCAAGAATTTGTCAGCTTGTTTAAAAATTCCCAATAATCAGAATTTGCTCAACGTTATTCTGCACCGCACGTTTGATCAAAATGTCATACTCTGCGTGGAAAATGTGCTGGAGGAGGCATTTTCAGTTTCCATAAGTGGGTCTTAAAAATTAATGGAAACACCACCAAACAGCAAACGCTTTGATAATAGAAAGGCTAACATACTGTGTAATACATATGCCCATTAATGGCACAGTTATGCGCCATAATGCTTATGACCAAATCACCCGGAATGTGCTTGGATATCGTCAGATCTCGGACGCTAAGCACCATTGAACCTGGTTAGTGCTTGGATGGGCGACCACCATGTACAGCAGATTGCTTCGGAGCGACGTGGTGGTCAGCAGTGGGCAGTGCAGCCAAATCCATTGCCATGCTGGCCTGTGCAGTACTTTCTATGCTCCCCAACGTCTATACGCCTCGTCTTCCGCCCAAACACACACTAAACGGCAAGGTGAAGTATGGTCAAATAATCTCCGTGATCCCCACTCAGCAGTGTGGGGAGACCCTCCATCCAGCAGTGGATTGTCAAAGGGCTGTAAATGCGAATTTTGTTGGTAATGCGTTAATCTAATTGCGTACTCCGGCTTCTTATTTTAACGGATGGGCAATTGTGGCCGCCTTCCCACGCGTCTGTGGATCTTCATGCCTGCGAGTTGTTATAAGTTTAAATCACGATTATTATTCAAAATAAATTTAAGAAAAAAAACACCGCCAACGCTAATTAATTTTACAAATCGGGATTAACGTCTGCAAACTATAACGCTACGTTTAAATCCCATTAGTTCATTTCACGTGAAGATTCTAAATGAAAAAAGACGTGGGCACATTTAAACTATCGACGAGGTGTACAGTGATAGGAATTGCTGTTCACTTCTCTGTTTAGCCTCCACCGTTTGGTGAAGCTCTCGGTTTTCTTACAACAAAAATCAATGCATATTAGTTTACGGCTTGCAGGAAGAGTGATGAGTCAAGGAAAGCTTTCCGTTTTACAAGTAAACCAATGAAGCTGGATATTGTGAAACTCCCTGTGCGCTGTTCATGCAACACTGTGCATGTGTAATGACCAAAATTACCAAGCACTCACCCCAAGCCAACGTGCAGCCAAATGGTTATTCAAAAGTAGGCCAAGGTCTTCGATTTGCCGAAAGAGGCCTCGACGGTGATTGGTCGGGAGACGGACGGAGTGGAACCCAGAGGCGACGATTGGGAACCCTTAGAGGAGAAGGGCAGGGATTGGCTAAGTGGGAAAAACGGTGAGGGAAGATTCCAGAAAGGGAGCTCGAGAGATATACAAGTATAACCCGTAAAAACAAAGTTTTTCACTATAAATCCTTTATATGCGTGGCGGCTAGTCTTCTCGTCCTCTGGCTTGAGATGGCTGCCACCTATGGGTCAGATGATTGTCTGACAGTATTAAGCAATTGGTAATTAAAATTTTAATTTGTTTTCCATAAACAGTGTAAAATTTTTGAAATTTTTTCACAAACATTAATTGTCTCGCACAACGAGTCTGTGTGCAAAATGTCAGCTCGATTGGATCACGCGAAGTGGGTTAAAAAACGACCGAAAGATTTGCACGGTCGTAAGTACGCAAGCAAGCACGCAAGCAAGCAAGCAAGCGAACTTAATATAAAGGATTTTAAAAAGGCAGAGCACAAGGGGAGGGGACGTACGAAGGAAGGGACGAGCTTCAAGACCAAGCACAAAGCCCGGGCCCAGTGTTGCGACTGTGTCTAATAGTGCGTCTTCCGAGTCATTTGACATGGATTGTTTTTTATTGTGAAATAAACGGTTAAACTATGAAGTGAACAAAATAACTGTCGTCCACAGAAGGAATGTACTGCTCTCATTTGAGTGGCATAACCTGTTGGCGATCCATGCGCATGATATATTTACTTTAGTCACAAGAATGTAGTCTATTTTCGACCGCTGTATTAATGATGATGCCGGTATTTTTTAAATTATACGTTCATACTCCATGAAGCATAGAAGGCCTATAAACTGTATCGTGATCTTGTTTATGGGGGGGGGGGGGGGGCATGACACAGGCAATGTCAAACAAACTTCTAGCAATGTTAAATGCCAAACAAAATTTTGTAAGAATATTCTGCAGACTGGTCTAGATCTCACCAGAGTGCATATGAAGGCAAGGCTGCACCCACTGCTGCTGAATATTGTACCAAAATTTTCTACTTGACTTTAAACATTTAAAAGGGGGGGGGCAGGGGGAATCAGCTCCCTCAGGTCCCTGCGAGGTTTCAGTGGTCATAACAGTCTGTATGTTGAACTTCTTTCGCACCATACGTAGCCAACCGTGCTAATCGGAGGTACGGGTGAAGGACAACAAATTCAACACAAAAGGCAGTTCTGAAGAAGAGAGTTTTGCAATCTACATTTAACAGTAGAAGCATCAGAGGGCCACAGAAGCGCCTGTGAAAGCGCGAGAGATGCAGCCACCGTCTTTGTCCGACGGAAAGCCAAAAAAGCTGCTGCGAGGTCACAGCCACGCGCCAAAAAGTTCTAAGCCAAAAACTGTCGCGTGTTCTTCCTCCAGGAATAATCTGCCATAAAAATGGCTCAAGCGACGGCAAGTCCGGAACAAATGCTGAAGATAGACCAGGTCTACCTGCTGGGCGTGAAGAGCGAGGAACGGCTGAAGGAGGCAGGAGCCTGGTGCATCAAGGAGGAGCTCGTCACGCAGCAGTACTACGACACCGCGGACTACAGCCTATCCCTGCACGCCACCTGGCTCAGCTGTCGCAATGGAGAGTGGAAGCTGCTCGTGGGGTCTCAAAACATCGCCGAATTGGAGAAGGACTTCATCCAAAGCCAAGGAAAGGCAAGCGAGATGGAGGTGGGCACTGATGACGAGGCTCAGGACTTAGCCAACGAGGCTGAGGATGCCAATAAGCCATTGATCAATCCGCACCGCAAGCATGACGACAACACATACGACGGGGAAAGTGATGGAAAAAAACAGAGTGGTGGTACAGACAACGCGTTTATCAATACCGCGATGCCAAATGTGAAAGAGGAAGAACATGGGACGCCTCGTGTAGATAGCCCAGTCAACAACAGCGATGACAACAAAGCCACGTACAAGCGTGATGATGACGGCACGGCCACCGAACGTGACAACTCGGAGGGCAATAACGCACGCGCAGAAGACCACGGCGACGCTCACTCGCGCGACGACTCGCGCACAAGTGGCCACGCGCCCGACAGAGCCTACAGCTACACAGAAATCAAGGGGGAAGGTGACATAGTGCGTCATCTAGGGAGCATCATCAGCGTCGACCCGCCCGACGGGGAAGGGAACACCGCAGGCCTGGAAGCGTTCCTACGGCGTGCCAACGTGCTCGCGTTCTCGAGCAGCCAGAGGAGCGAGCGTCGGGTGTGGCGCGTGAGGGACGCCTACACGGTGGCGGTGGAAGAGGATGAGCTGCTCGGTCTGAAAACGGCCCGCGTCTCCCTAACGGTACCGCTCTCCGACATCACGTCTGGGTTCGAGCGACTCGATCGGCTGGCCACGGAGCTGGGATGCAAGCGGTGGGAGACGACTTAGGCGTGGCCGGCAGCGAATTGTCGGGCAGTCGTTGGGTCCGAGGTGGCATTAAAAAGGTGACCGAATTTGTCAGCCCCTGACGCGCACTGCGTGGTGGAGTCAAGGGTAGTTGCTTTCACACTGGGCCTACAAGTGGGACAAGTTCCAACTTGCCCTTTGTTGCTCTGCAATACCGGAGGCACTAGCTGACATAGAGAATGATGTATTCAAACCCGATAGGCATGTGATAATGCATCGATTACAATCGATTCTTATGTTCACGATATATGCATTGAATCGCGTAGTTAATAATTCCTTTGTTTATATTTGCTTGTGTGCTCTACGTAATGGGTTCACGTGATCACTGTGGTTACTGCACCTCAAATTAGCACGGTTGGTTACGTACGGTGCGAAAGAATTTCAACAAACAGTAGAGACGCTACAACCACCGCAACGTGAAAAAGGCTTAGCTTACGGCTACAATTCCAGAAAATTCATCGAACTGCGAGGGAGGCAATTCATACACACCTAAAATCTGATGTCTGAAACTAAACACACACACTTAATCCGGTACATAAGAATATACTTGTGTTCACACAACGCGAACTTTCCATACCATTATGGACAACCTTAAAAAACACAAATTTATATTTCTGTACAACGCACCCAAGAAAAACTCATATTTATTGTTAGCCACAAGGCGGCTCAGCTATTAGGCGTACCTGCCCAACTCGTTTTTGAAAATGTACACACGTTTTGAAATTTCCCTGGGACCCTGCCACACCGTTCTGACACTTACTTATGGGCGTCTTCCATGATGTGCAGGAGGCACGTGCATTCGGCGGTTTATCGAAACCTCAGGCTCTCGCGGTTCATCTCCAACCTCCGTCCCCAAGGCCACTGCTGTGATTTACAACAACAGATGGGGTTAGGGGCAGGGTAGGGGGAAAACAGGGGGGGGGGGGAGAAAGCGCGTCAGCCTTGCTCTGTGCAAACGTCACTTGCTTACGGAAAGTAGGGGATTGGTCAACTTAAAAGGACATACAGCCGGTTTAAATACAACACCAAGGCGTACCATTCCAGACCAGTCTATTACCAAGCCAGTCATGCACGCGGCTTGTATACATAACACGTACAGTGATTCAACCCTCGAAGATTCGTTAATTGGTGCGATTCAGGGTCGCAATTCAATTTAACTAAGAAATAGTTTTTGTTTGTGGTGAACGTAGTAGCCATTCGTGGCTACAGGAGTCAAGTGAACCCAGTACATGCAATATATAATTGAATAAATAACTATAAACATTTTCTTTTACGGTCCTTTATCGATCCACGTGTGAATTTAAACCGCACATAGGGAATTCTGGGGAGAAATAGGTTAGTCACGTGCACGCAAAAAATCTCAAAAACTGAAACTGCATAAAGCGATGGAAATCTGTATAGAAATGTAAAAACATTGATTCTTACATGCATGATTTGATGCACGTTCCATGACTTTATAAATGGACGTTAAATCAATGAATAGCTACGCATTGCAAAATACGTTCAACACATGATGCAGTACAATATATCGAGAGTAAAAATTCGTTCAACCTTTTGAACATATTTCGGTGGAGTGGTGGCGCAGTGCGTTAGCAAACTTCACTTTGAACCTGGCCATCTACGTTTGAATGCCAGGCACGAGTAACACCGGTGGCGAATGATATCTGCACACTGACCAGCATGGTGAAGTATGATCAAACCATTCATATGACCAACCACCCTATAGTGTGTGGAGGCCCTCATCCAGAAGTGTAAGTTTTAGTTTGAACATAATTTAATTGACGAGCCATGCATGTGCTGTCTATTGAACATATGGCATACATTTTCTTGGCACATATACGGTTTTCATTCAAACTCAATAAACGAAATGCCTTTTTTACTATACAATCATCTAATATTTTGTATGTTTATCTATAGAACTACACCACGAATGCCCCACTAATTTCAATGAATGAGGTGTCATCTGAAAGAGTATCATATGCAGTTTATACAAACTAGACCAAAATTACCCAAAAAAAATTACCTTCCACCCGATAATTTGACTTACTGGCTGGCGCTTGTGCCATTCATCTATTTTATCATTTGCAATGCTCGGTTGTGCAATGAGGCTCTATTTAGAGAATAATACAATGGACAGAAGCAGCGTATGCCTTTTGCAAGGCGCGTGTATACAAGGCGATAATGGAGAGAAGCCGCTGGATCTCAATGAGATGTCCAATATATTGTCTAAAACAGTGAGCGGTGGAGGGCTCAGACGAGTTGAAGGCTGGTGAGTGGAGACAGGCGTGCGAGTGACAGGGTGGGGGGGGGGGGGTCAGGTGAGTGCCAACCGTGCGTCAAGCCACCCCCCTTCCTTCGAGCCGGGCTGCCCTTTCAATTCGCATGCATCGCTCAAAAATCCGGGCACACTTCAAAAAAATTAAATGACCGCAACTGTTTTTTCTTCTTCAAATCGCCACAACAGACAACCAACCAACCAACCATACGTCGGCTCGCACGGTTGAAAGTCACACGCGTGTTACGAATGCTCTGTGGCTAAAGGAAACAGAGCGAGGAGCGCCAAGCGACACGTGTTTTGTCGGGGTCACCTGTGCGCTGCCAGCCAAATGTGATTGCCCAACTCTACTGTCCCCAATACAGGTTGCTTAAAAAAGAAAAGAAGGTCTGCGTTTCAGGAAATGAGCTTAAAACAAAACTACGTTACGACCCAGCGGACAAGAATGGAACACGTGTGGCATGTTGAACGGCCAAGTGCAGTTTGAACCTGATTAAGATGGCTCCAATGGGTAGCACACACCAGAGGTCGCAAACGGGTTTTGATTCCTTACCCGTACCCGGCCGCACCAGAGTCGCAAATGGGTACCCGTACCCGGCCGTACCCGTACCCTACCCGTACCCGGCTGGGTACGGGTAGGGTACGGGTATCGGGTACCTGATTGCGACCTCTGGGATGAAGCCATGTTGCAGGCGCGGGTGGGTTGATTCTAGGAACTTGAATTGTGAGAAGAGACAAGACGTTGGGAAATGAGTGACAAACGGTTACTCACCAGTGACTCACGGCCTACCCGTACCCGTACCTGACCGCACCAGGGTCGCAAACGGCTACCCATACCCGTACCCGGCCGGGTACGGGTAGCCGGGTATCGGGTAGGGTACGGGTATCGGATACCCGGTTGCGACCTCTGGCACACACACACACACACTGAAAAAAACGAGACTCCCCAGCAAAAAAACGTTCGTCTTAAAATGAATCAAAAAGCAATGCATGTATTCGCTGTGGTCTGGTGAGTGGTGGGCAGTCACTCGTAATTTCAGTCTGAGACCCAACAATGAGGTGATAATCCGGGCCAGCACATTGGTTTGGGTTTCACGTTGTCATTGAAGTCATGGGGTTGTGTTTTTTTTTACGGGACTTCTAACTTCATTAAATATTTAAAATGTATTTCCTCCAGAAGCATCTCAGCAAGCATCGTCAGTAGTTTCAGCGGCAACTAATTATCAAGCGATGTTCTTCATTAAAAGGCCACATTTTTGAGCATCATTTTTGGCAATCGATCTCCTCCTGTTCCGCCAGATGCGGATGGCAACAGTAAACGATTAACCCGTCAGTCATTAACATGATCCGCCAAAGTACATGTAACAAAGCGAGGTTCTATGATATACCTGTAGGAAACATAGTCCTAGCTTACGGCAAAGGAAAGACTATCAGGTGCGCGTAAGGCATTGGATGGATTATTGTTGTTAGTAAATAGTGTGTGCAATGACAATACACCCATAGTAAGCGCACTGGAGCCTGCAGGAGATTTAAATGAGACACATACCTAAGGTGACATACATTGCTCAGTGCAGTGTCACAGTGTCATGGTCTCAATATGCTGCGAGAGAACTGGACGGTCAGGTTCAGCCCTTTTCCAATAACACGAACAATGGCCAAGCCTCGGATACCAAAAAAAAAATCACATACTTGGAACATACACCGCCTGTAACCCCCTGCAGAACATTTACCCAAAAAGCGTGACAACACACGTGTGGGAAAACGTACATATTTTACCAAGCATATTATTGTCATTTGCGTGGCGTCATGAAATATTCATGACTTATAAAGTATTCATTACTCCAGCTAAGTTATAATAGAAAGTACTTCGTGCGAGTGTCAAGAGAAATCTGGGAGTCGCTTGCTGAATGGACAATCAGTCCAGTGAATTCCAGCCGATTTTACCCACCTTGGTTTGTACTGTGCTCAATGAAATAAAAATGCAGTTGTAATCTAGCACTGTAACGTGTTATTTATTATGCAATCCATATATAAAGCAACGCCACGTAATTCAGGAGAGAAAAAATACAACTTTCACTGATACTTTACATTAGAAAAACATTGCAGCCCCAATTGTATGCACAATCTTGATTTGAAGCTTTCGTGACTGCAGGAACCCATACTCTTTGGTTATTTCGGTAAAGTCACGTAGGTAGAAAAATTTAGTAAAACATTTAATTTTATACCTACGTGACGTTACCGAAAGAACCAAAGAGTATGCATGCACAATTGTATAATTTAGCATTGCTAAAAATGATCATCACAGGTACTACAATATGAATTTAGGGTATAAAAGTAATTGTTGGGTAAGAGCACCCTACGAATATAACAATCCGTGTACCTGTGATTTCTAAATGACAAAATTACCGGAGCGAATTAGCGGGCATGAAATGTGACAGTAGCATTCCAAATTCGTTTTCACGCATCAGATGTTCACTCACAAAAAAGTAACATTATTGAACATGCGACACTGTGACACCTACCAACGCCATGAATTTAAAGTGCTCAACATTTGTCAAGGAGCATACTGTTGCAAACGCAAAGTGCACATTCATTCCATCGCTTTGTTCGTCACTCAGCAACATAATTACAGGAGAGTCTGTTTAACACGGAGCAGGCTTGCGTGACCAACATTAACCAGAGGTTTTTAAGGTTAAATCGTGTCAATATAAATGTGTCGTTAAACCCGCCGCCACCCAACACAGCCAATTAGTAAGGTTAAACAAAAATGTCGTGGGTTTACCCTCCAACACACCGGTGTGCTGTACTAGTAACGAATTGGCATGCTTTGTTGACCTCTCATTCACAGTCTATACGACTGGAGAACACTGAATGGGCATGACAACTGCCTGCATAGCCCCCTCTCGTCACACACACACACACTGACCAGCCATCGTACATGTGACATGTCGCCGTCCAGGAGCACATGATCAGGGGCAATGCCACACAATTCTCACCTGCAGCGCTTGAAACGGCCTTTCTCTCGCTCCCTCTCCCTTCTCTCTCTCGCTCCCAACTATCCTCTGCGATATGAAGCCGAGACGACTCACACTCATTACGCAAGTCTGCGGGGGGAGTTCCGACACTGCCAAGCCTCAACAGCCACACCCACCGCCGTGGTGACATCACCAGTGGCTGCATCAGCTGTTTAAATGGGTGGTGGGCCGAGCACGTTCTCGCCTGATTAGGAACAGAGGTTGTAGCTTCATACTGGTAGGAACCTCCAGGTTACACCAGCCCACAGGGGATTATTGTGTCCGTCGTGCAGGGAGGGGCTGGGTGGGGGGTGGCAGGGTGGGGAAGGGGCTGGGTGGGGAGGGGAGGGTGGGGGTGGCAGGGTGGGGAGGGGCAGGGTGGGGAGGGGAGGGGCTGGGTGGGAAGGGGTGGGGAGGGGCTGGGTGGGAAGGGGCTGGGTGGGAAGGGTGGGGGAGGGGCTGGGTGGGAAGGGTGGGGTGGGGAGGGTGGGGCTGGGTGGGGAGGGGTGGGGAGGGGTGGGGCTGGGTGGGGAGGGGTGGGGCTGGGTGGGGAAGAGCTGGTCACCCCGTGGTGC